CCTCCACCATTTTATTTTGGTAGATAGGGGAAAATGGCTCTAACAAAAAATATTCAAAATTTACTGAAGATTATGAAGCTGTTAATTATAGTACTCCTTATCTAGGCAAAATTGTGTAAAAACTCCATTTTATTATTTTTTGTTGTAGTTGCGCCCTCTAGCGGTTGTTCTACAAACTTGAAAATAATTTCCAGCAATTTTCCATAGCCTCTTTAGTTATAAATATTTTTTTCCGCAACCGCTACGGCTAATACTTTCCGAGATACAGCCGAGAGCTATTCTTAGTGGGACACCCTGTACAACTCGACGCGTTAGTGAACTGTTTAAACACAAACGTAGTTAGAGAACTTTTAAAGAATTGACTATGAATATTTTCCTATGTTAAAATAAAATAGGTAAATGTGATTTATAGTGTGAGTTATACTTTTATTCTCGTATAATAAAGCGGTTTCTTTCATAAAGCGTTGCGTGAATTGCTCGTAAAACGTACGTAATAGACTTTACGCCTTATTTCGCAACGACTTATGTGCATGCTAATCGGTGTTTATATTTCCATTAATGTATATGTAAATGAACAGCAAACACAAGGAACTATAAAGCAGTTTGTTCCAAACAAAGCTTATCTAAATAAACCTGAGATAATGTTTTCCGCTACAAATTGGATACTCGTGTTGTGTGACATTTCGGAAATTAAGATAATTACGCCGTTTTTGCTTTATAATCACCTGTAAGTAGTTTGTTGTCGATAAAATACTAAGTTTATTTATATTTTATTCGTTTTCTTAATAGAATTAAATTAAACTTTATTAATAAAACTTTATTAATAAATAATAGTAGTTTATGATGCAAATATACAGATCATACCAAATAAACTTTTAGTCACGTGATTAAGATTGACCGGCACAGCGTTGTTCACATTTACATATTTTCTTTTAATCAAAATATTTTAGAAAACAAAAGTAAATTATTTTATTTACATCAACAAAACTCACCTCCTTAACAGCATTTAAGAGTCATTACTACCGCTTTCCCGTTCAAAATATTCTAATAAGGTTGCGATGAGTTTTTTGCAACGGTTATTAAGCTATCTTGTACACTTCGTACTAAAAGAAGTTCTAAAAAGAACAATGTTCGACTGCAAGGTCTGCTAGTAAAAGTGTTTAAGCTTAAAGTATCACAACACTATTTATTTAAACCAAAAACTCGTAATACAAAACTACAATGTCAAAACCAGAGAGAACACTAATAACTAAAGTGAGAGAGACCGATCAATGTTAATTTTTGAAGACTGTGTCAGTGGCGCGGCCTTTGGCGTCTAACCCGAACTATGAGCGCATTATCGATATAGTAGGTTGCATTCATACCTATATACTGGCGCCAAAAATTTAAAATTTGTGTATTTGGAACCGAATCTTAATCCTTCAAGTTTATAATAAGAAATCTTCGTAGTTTTTTTAGATTATTTTGTGGACAACGAAAATTTATTATTGGACTTTAAAGCATTAAAACCTATAAACAAAATACTGTGTAGGAACATAATAATTTATTTAACTTAGTTTGGTTTTCAGTTTTTGCAGAATTCATTTACTAGGTCTTTGGTGGGTTGTGGATTGTCATGCCTTTTCTTGAACTAAAAATAAATAAGTTCAATTTTTCATTAAGGTTTAATTTTACTTGCTTACCTGTTTAGGTAATCCGTTTCTGTACATGTCGTAGTGGAGCCCATACTCCAACTCAAGGCTGCAATCTTCAATATCTTTTTTATCTAACCTGGTTGGGAGTAAACAGGGAAGCACGGTTGGGTGCTCGCACAGAGTATCAGTAGGTATCCCGTAGGTATTCAATGTTTTTGATAGTCTTTATTCTATACCAAGAACCTATCAGTTGAAAAAAAATAATTTGTATTACTGGTAATTGGTAATAATACCAGGTATAATACCTAGTCGTTCCAGAGGTATCAGAAAAGAATAAGAATGTGATGTTTTACTTTTACAATCGGATTTATCCCATAGGTTATGCTTACCTATGTAAATTAGCAATGTACGAGCTAGCAACGTCGGAAAAACAAGTATTTTAAGACGTCTTGGCTCTTTGATATATCTCTTACTATGCTCTCTAGAACAGCATGCGGCCCGTCTGGCTGCCGGTAAACGTTGCGTTCCCTACTGCGCATTGAAAGAAGATCCTATATTTTATTAGTCATTTAAATTCTAGTATTGAATATAAACCGACCGAGTCTCCATAACTCAATGCGTAGAGTTTCAGACCACGAGTCAGAGTTCGAATCCGGGTCAGGACAAAAACTTTTTTATTTTATTTTCGTTTATATTCTGACAGTAAAGTAGTAAATATTTGTTTTTTTTTAATCATCAAAATTATTTAATACTTTACTATCAGAATATATACGAAAATAAAATAAAAAAGTCTTTGCCCTGACCCAGATTCGAACTCTGAATCGTCGGTTCGTAGTCGGAAACTCTGCGCACTGCGCTATGGAGACATGTTCGATTTATATTCAATACTAGAATTTATAGGACTAAATTAAAAAAAAAATATAGGATCTTCTTCCGATGCGCAGTAGTGAACGCAACGGATATCGGCAGCCAGACGGGCCGCATACTGTTCCAGAGAGCAAAAAATATAAAAAGATATATCAAAGAGCCAGACGTCTTAAAATACTTTCTCGAAAACGTTGCTAGCTGTTAGACTATATTATGTGCACTCACTACTCACTATTAATATTAGGTATTTTAAAATAATTACCGAGATAAAACTTACCTTTAAAGGAAATGTTTTGTCTGGATCTCAACAACAAAACAAAAATTACAAAAATGCCGAATAATCGTGGAATCTCAAATATCAATAATGACAATCATACATGGTTAAACTTAAATGAAATGACAGTTCATTAAAAATAGTTTTTCCTCCAAGATGCAGAGGCGCAAATATTAAAACTGTCAATATTAACAATGCAAATGTCAATATCTGACAATAATAAAATTTGATTTTTAACTGTCACTCAGAGACGCTTTTGTTGTGATTTTACGGTTTGATTTGTCGAATTATTGTAAAATTAAATTCCTTCAGATTTTTTGCCAGTATTCTGTTTTAGACAATGTTTTTTAAAAATGGTGGGACAATTTGTGTTTTGTAATAACTCTTAATTATTTTTTATCATGGAGTTTAATTGTTGTACACCTGGTTTCCGAAGGATACAATGGTAAGTAAATTAAACATATCTACTTACAGTTATAGATTTTTTAAATTAGTACTGCTAATAAATGCTACTTGCAGAGCAGTTATTTAATTTTTTTACGGTGCATGTAAGGAATTAAGGACGCGCGTTTTTTTTTATGATCAGCAGATAATTACATCTGATTTAATTTGTTTTGATTATTTCAGGTCCCAAACGGAAACAAACTGGGAATCTTGCCTACACCAAAATTATATACCTAGCCGTTTCCAATTCACTTCAAAGGGAGGAAAATTATGTAAAACTGCCTGCTATTTGCTGAAAACCACCAAAGATTAAATTATAACTGTAACAACTTAATATATACTATTTCTAGTATTTTTAATATATTTTTTAATTAATATCCGACATATAAGAACACTTTGTATGCTTTTATTTCAGTTGATTTATCGTTTATAATATGTTCGACCTAATTAAAAGCACACAAAGTGTTCTTACATGTATGTCTAAATTTATTTTAAATTAACTAAAACAACCCCCCTTCCCCGCACCCTTCTTTTCCATAAGTATTTCTTCCTCCGTCTACCAGAGGCGCCCTTGTATAATAAAATTGAAATGTATTATAAGTTGCCTATCTATTTAATAGTATAAGTCTTTTATCTATGCAATCATATGACCATAATCTTCTCTTCCCACAAGCTAAAAGAACAGGTACATTTAGTCAAAAACCGACACCGAATAGTCATCCCGACACCGAATTAGTCAGCCCGACACCGAATATATCCATGCTTGGCAATAATAAATTTAATAATCGCACCCTCGATTACGTAACATAAAGTTTAATTGGTATCGCTTATAATTAAAATTTACATAAGATACGTAAAGTAAGAGTTAGCAAAGTACATGTCGTAAATTTGTCATTATTTCGTTTTTAGGTGATGAAGTTATTGAATGAATGAAGCTGCTACAAGGAAAATCCTATCAAGAAGGACATTATAGAGTAAACAAGAAGCGAATGTCGAATTAATCGTGAGCAGATTCATGAGTAGAAGAATGGCTCAAGCTAGTTGAGACAATCTGTTGCTCAGAGAGGTACGATTAGTTACCACAAGAAACGTCTCTATAGTAAAAATTATGAAAACAAATTGCATAAGTCGTCAGCAAATATTATTATGTTATAAGTGCAAATTTCTATTTCAGGTAAATAACTAATTATTAATAACAATTCTTGTTTATTTAACACTCACACACTTAAATATGAAACTATTCTGAATTTGGATTCAATAAAACCAGAATTACAAAAGGTTTCCAATTACAAGTTTAAGAATAGTTTTTATATACGAGCACAAAACACACCGCTGAGTTTTACCTTGGCCAAAGTACACCTTCTTTACACACTCTAGATGTTTGTGGTTGTCTATATGCCTGCTGTCCTCTCAATTTTTCGTTTTTGTGATTTTTTAGATAGATGTGTAGGTCTAGATCAATATGGGAGCAACAACTGTGTGTTTCGGACTCGTATTATCTTGTTTGGCCATAGATAACTAGTTTATGTTACAAAAATAGGGCGCAAACTCTTAAGTTAGATTGATATTTTAACTTGCATTACGACCACACTATAGGTTTCTTCACAGTTCTTTAAAATTTATGGATTTTGGTCAATTGAATCTATTTACCATACTTAAATTGTGTTTCTTGTCTACCAATGTACTATGTGCATGTAAAATGCACAATATAGTCATTACACTTATATTTTTAACTATACCTAAATTTATTTTGCTCATTCTTGACTGTAATTTTGCTCTAGGTCAAACAAATATTTCCTGGCCCGAATCAGAAATCTATGAACGTCCTCACGTTCTTGTTACGTCACCGGGTAGTCCAGATAGACAGGAAGCAGCGCCATCTTTGCAAGGTCCAACTAGCGTAGGAGGTCGCGTTCAAGTAAGGGTTAAATTCGTTGTTTGGTTGAAAAATAACTTGGATATAGAATAAAAGAAATATAAATTAAAAACATAAGCTACAATATAACAAAAATACCGAAATAATTGAAAAAATACGGCGTCATAGTCGGCTGGGGAGTGACGGTCGATGATAATTTTGGCGAAGTCAAGCCCTAGACGTCATTTACGTGACTCGAACTCTTCTTTATTTTATACTGGCTTTTACTACCAGTTGGTTATTAAAAAGTTGTAGATTAATTTTATATTGTGTAAAAATGATTTTTATGAAATAGATTTGTTTGTTCTATTCTTTTTTAATCTCTCTATAACTAGTGTTAAGTTTTATGTTAGTTTTCAATAAATGACGTCTAGAGATTGGCGTCGCCAAAACTATCATCCATTTTTCGGTTATACGGTATAAGTCTAGGATAAAATAACTGAAATTAAACTTGAAGGAAAAATACTAAAATTTATAAACTTGAATCTATCTAGAAAATATTGTAGGATTGATAAAACTAATAAATTTCTTGTTATTACTTGTAGGTGAGGCTTGGGTTCGATCCTACTACGTTACAACTTCTAGTAACAATTATGTGCGCCACTGGCTTGACACCCAGAGCCGGTCAGCATCCAAGAAATCCGTATTGCAAGCTTTTCCTTCTACCAGATCGATCCGAAAAAAGCAAACGACGTACCAGAACATTAGCAAGTAAGTCAATATTTATATAAATAAATGAATAACGTCTTTATTTTTTACTCGGCGAAATTCGGCAGAGCTCTTAACCGAGCATATATTGTGTGGAATCGAACCTTGGATTGTGTGGATTTGAAGTGACTGCTTGATGTGCTCTATGCTTTTTGTTCCAACAAGGTCTGTATATGAGGTTGATTTTCGTTCAACCAGTCTAGTTGTTTCTTTTTGTTGGACTCTCCCAGTACCGCTTCGCTAGTTTCATGAATCGCATCCTTTAATTGTGTCCAGCCTTGTTCAGCTTCCAAGGCTGAGATTGAAGTTATCGGTGGAAGTGATTCTTTGATTGAAGTGATTCTGAACCCCGTACGTTCAGTCTGGTCATGTTGTTTTGCTTTTTACAGTGTGGATGTTTGGGTTTTAACTGGATTCTCATTTTTGAAATTAAAAGTCGGTGGTCAGTGCCGCATTCGGCATCTATTCTGGCTTTTGTGAGTCTGACATCTTTTAGATGCATCCTTCGAACGATTACGTGGTCCAATTGATGCCAGTGACTTGATCTGGGATGTTTCCAGGTACCTTTAAACTTGTCTTTCAACATGAACCACATATTGGTGATGCATAGATTATACTCTGTGCATGTTGTTAATAAGCGTTCACCATTGCTATTTACGTTGCGCATTCCATGTTTTCCCAATACGTCAGGCCATATTTCCTGTTCTCTACCGACCGACACGAGCATTAAAGTCACCTAACAAAATGATTCGTTCGTGCTTTGGAATTCGTTGAAGAGCATTTTGTAGAGCTTGGTAAAATTTATTCTTATCCTCAATTTTTTAGCGTCTACGGTGGGAGCGTAGGCACTATAATGATGTTGACGTAAGATTTGTCTTATATGGGGTATCTTAGGGTCATAAGACGTTCGGAGACACCAATAGGTACTTCTGTTAATTTGGTGGCGATTTCGTTTTTGATTGCAATGCCTACGCCATGAATTCTCCTGTGTGTTGCAGGATGACCCTTCCAAAAGAAGGTGTAATGCTCCTCAGTGAGACTACCCTCATCCGGAAAGCGGGTTTCGCTAAGAGCGGCAACATCTATATTTAGCCGGTGGAGTTCCTGTGAGACCAGTGCTGTTCTTCTCTCTGGTCGATTTGAATTTATCTTGTCTAGTAGAGTGCGGACGTTCTAGTAGAGTGCGGATGTTTTTTGTTTCTCCGATGATACGCTCGAGTAGGCACCCCCTCCCGGAGATCCGATTGAGGGGGTATTTTATCTCCGGATGATGATTTTGTCCCACTCGAATGTTCCATCATTGATGTGTGTTAGCTGCGTGAAAAGGTTAAACTGTGACGGTTACGCTGCCGCGCAGTTTTGGCTGCAACTGCAGCACGGGATGACTATGGCATAGTGAGGACCGCGACGATAGTTCCCTTGTGCTACGTTCTCGGCCGGCTAGGAGTAATACTACTCCTCTTCTCAGAAAGATGGTAGGTCTGAGGATTGTATAAGGTTATACCGCCTATACTCGGACGTCAGAGCCTCGTTTGTGTAGACAGGGTGCACCGCGTGAAGGTGAGGTTGACTTCACTACCCCTTGCACCCCAACAGTTTCAATAACTGCATTAGCAAAAAACTAAAATAATTAAATTTTATGACAAAACCACGATTTCAAAATTATTTTAATGCAATCAACATGATGGCGGCGTCTAATACATACTGATGATTTCTGATTTCTACCGTTGAAGCTCTGCGGTCGGAATTTGTTGAAATCAACTGAAATGCACCAAGCTTATAGAGTTGATGGGGTATTTTAATTCGGTATTCAGTCTCAGCGCTTTGACTTCAAAATATTTCATTTTTTTCGATCGTAACTTCTAAGAAATTTCTTCGAATGGCTTAGACCTTTGGAGGATTCCTATTCAAGGTTACAGATGGAGTCTTCCAGGTTCTTGAGTTGCACTTTAAATTGGTTTCCACATGGACGCGAGTACTTACGTAGAAAAATGAAGCGTGTGTTAAGAAACTAAGTCGCATAAAAGTCAACCATAAAAAACGCGGTATTTCGCAAAAAGGTCTTTACGAAAAAACGGACGTGTGCGACGACCTTTAGGATACCGGCCTCATCGGCATAGATAAAACGTTCGGAAAATAAATCACACGCGCTACCACTGTCCGTCCCGTCCCATCGTCCTTTCGCTAGCCTCGCTTTTTTCGATCTTGGCCCGTGCGCCAAATTATGTTTTTGGTCCTGTCTCCTCTCGTCCGGTGCGCCTACATAAATTAGGGGAATAGGAAATGGAATAAGAGACGAACATCAAACGTATACCGAGCTAAAAAATGGATTTGAAAATGAAAACGTTTATAATCTGCAGAAGAAATTATTATGTTTTCATGGAGTCTTGTATGGTATTACTCAATTATCAATGATCTTCGGATTGTTACGGGTTTTCTAACACCACTTCTTCTTCTGCTGCTATCCATTAATGGATGTTTGCGATCAGTTCTGACCATCTTTCTCTCTCTCCGGTGGCGTGAATTAATTCTCCTGTAGTTCTTATTCCCGTCCAATGTTTAACATTTCGGAGCCACGACATCCTCTTCCTTCCCAATCCCCTTCTTCCTTCTCTATCTTTCCTTCTATATTATTAGTTGGAGTAAATGGTATCTCTCATTGCGCATAACATGTCCCAGGTACGCTGTTTTTCTGCGTTTTATTGTGCTTAGCAGTTCACGCTCTCTCCCCATCCTCCTCAGGATTTCCTCGTTGGTCTCTCTTGCTGTCCATGGGATTTTCAAGATTCTTCTGTAGACCTACATCTCGAACGCTTCCAGCCTGTTCATGTTTCTGACTTTCAATGTCCAGCCTTCCATACCATAGCAGTGGAACACGGACCATACAAAAATATTGTAAATCTTACTCTAAGGTCAAGGTCAAAGTCAGAGTTGGTTAAGACGTTTTTAAATTTCATAAATGCGCTCCTCGCTTTTTCTATACGGCACTTGATTTCCACTTCCGAAGACCAGTCTTCACATACCCAAGTTCCCAGATAGCTGAACTTTTTTACCTGTTCTATGTCTTCCCCATTGTGCGTTAGTCTTGCATTCTGGTAGTCATCTGGTTTGCGGGTAACTATTAGGAATTTTGTCTTTTTTGTGTTGATGTCAATTCCCATACGTCGGCTGTGTATTCCAATCATGTCCAAGAGTGTTTGGAGGTCATTCATGTTATCCGCTATCAGGACTGTGTCATCTGCGTACCGTATATTGTTGATCCGTATGCCATTTACTTTGATGCCTATTTCTTGTCCTTCGAGCGCTTCTAGGAAGATGTTTTCTGAGTATAGGTTAAACAGGAGTGGGGAGAGGACACATCCCTGTCTTACGCCTCTAAAAATTTGCTGTGCTCCTGTAATTTCATTGTCAACCCTAACTGCAGCTGATTGGTTCCAGTACAAGTTCTCAATACAGCGCACATCCTTCTGGTCTATGTCTAGCCGTCTCAGTATTTGAACGAGTTTCTGATGTCGTACTCTATCGAACGCTTTTTCGTAATCTATGAAGCACATTGCTACGTCCTTTCTCTGGTCGTAGCAGTTTTGGACCAACACCTGGGTTGCGACCAGTGCCTCTCTTGTACCTAGGCCCCTTCTAAATCCGAATTGAGAGGATCCAACAGCACTTTCGCATTTTTGGAAATTCTGTAATGAATGACCTTCAGAAATATTTTCAGAGTGTGGCTCATTAAACTGATTAATCTGTGGTCTTCACACCTTGTTGTATTGTTTTTCTTTGGAAGTGGTACGAAAAGAGATGTAAGCCATTTAGATGGGAAATTTCCTGTATTGTAAATTTGGTTGAAGAGCCTTTGCATTATTTTAATACCTTCGTTGTCCAGTAGTTTGAGCAGTTCAACAGGCACTTGATCTGGTCCCACCGCCTTCTTATCTTTGGAGCTATTTATTGCTCTAGTAATCTCTTCTATTGTGATTGACGGTCCAGTCAGATCATCTTCTAGGTTATCCTTCAGCTGAGGTCTTTCATCTGCAAAGAGGTTGCCAATATATTGTTCCTCCCAGATAGATTTTCTCTGTGCGTTATCTTGTGCCATTTGTCCTTTTTCATTTTGTATGTTGGAGAAAGTCTGCTTCCTATATACTCCAGCTGCTTCTATTATTTTCTTATGTAGGTTATAGTCATCGTTCTGCTTTTGTAAACGTTCCATTTTTTCGCACTGTTCTCTCAGCCATTTATTTTTTGCTGATCTTACTGCCCTTCTTATAGTATTTTGCAGCGTTCTATATTTATCTCGACTGCCTTGATTCTTGTACTTCCTTCTTTCTTCAAACATTTTTAGTATTTCATTTGTCATCCAATTTTTCCTTTTGATGTTTTGTCTATATCCTATTTCCGTTCTTGATAAACACACTTCTCTAACACCACACTGTTTCCATAATGGCCACTTCAGTAGATTGAAGCTAAGAGACAACGGCGAATGCAGATTCTGTGGAATAAATTTTGTTTTCAGTAAAACTTTGGATATATTTCTTTATTAAACACCATTATGTATAAACAACGCTGAAATTCTATCTTTTTCTATTCTAAAATTCGATTTAAATTTTTTTAATGTTATGTATTTTAATTCGATTTGAAGTTTTTAATGTTATGAGCTGCATTCAATAGAAATAATTTGTTTACATATTGAGATATAATAAAAGAGACTTGTTAAGACAAATATAAATATATACAAATATTTTTTATTAAAGAAAATTCTGGTGTAATTGGAATGAAAAGCGGAAAATTAATATATCTAAACTTTTAAGCTTCATTCAGAACCTCGCGATTATGAAATAAATTAGTGGTTTCACTACACTTTATAGTTTTTAGTTTACGATCATTCACCGTATAACACAAATGTATAAAACACAATTAAAATTATTAAATATCTTAGCAACAGCTTGCGGTTGTATCCATAGAGAAAGCATAATATTTAGCTACTACCCCTGTATATGAATTTTTAAAGTAGCTCAACCTAAGACGTTTATGGATGTAAAGCAACTTCAGACAGGCGTATTTTCACAGTCTTTACTAGAGAAAATATTTTGTTACTCTGAATTTTGGAGCCAAAGTAAAAACAGAGAAAATAAAACGATAATTTTCAGACTGTGCCAATTGGTTACTAATCGACCAGAGACTTTTTGTCTATTAGATATATAAAAGTTGGTAATTATACAATTCAACCATTGTAAATACCCGACAAATTCCGCAAGGTCGACGAGGTCGATGTTTTCCACTGATAAGAAACATTTGCTTGTATTTTCGAGATATTTTATCTTTCTGAATGCACATTTTAAAGTATTTATATCCTTTGTCCGCTTGATCTATTATACTGGCCGCACGTATCGAAGTTTTATTTCTTGTAGTTTTAAAATATTTTCTTGTTTCTTTGTAGTTGTAATGTAAAATTAGATTAATTTATTAAGTTTGATTATAATGTTTAGTGTAGACTACCAGAAGAATATTTTGAAGTTAATTAGTAGGTGAAGTGTACTGGCTTGATTTTTCTTTATGTTTGATTAACTAATAAGTTTCAATTTGTTTAGTGTAGAATACAAGAAGTGCTACGTAACTGAACGAAGTACAACAG